GGCGCGGGGCGGCGGCGGGGCCCGGCGGCGGCTGCCGAGCGGCCGCCATGCGATCAGGCAGTGCGCTGACCGGCCCGGCCGGCCGGCCCCTTCTGGGTCCTCCCTTTGCAGCCCGTGCGGGGCCGTCTCGGAGACCCCGCGCCGACGGCTGCTCAAACATCAGGGTGAGTTTCTCACAATGTAGCAATTTCTCTTTAAATCTCTTAACTCTCTCTACCTGCGAGTCGGGGCTGTGACAGGGCGCAAAAGCGAGGGGGGAGTGGGGGTTGGCGGCGAGGGTGTGTGTGGGGGGAGCCGGAGCCGGGGCCGAACCCACCCCCCCGACACTCACACACTCAGCCCCCCAACCGGGGCGCAGCGCCCGCTGCCTCTTTTTTTTTCGCTCGGCGCCCACCACCACCGGCATCCCCCCACCCCGCGTCTCTCCCACCGTCACCGCCGCCCCGATCCTGTGGGGACCCCCCCTCCCCGCTTCCCTGTCCAAACCCGGCTCCCGGTGCCTCCCCGGCCCTCCCGCCGGCTGCCGGGGATACAATGGAGCGGCGGAAAAACGAGACCTAACGTTCCACGGGGGGAGGGGCGGGGAGACCCCCCCTCCTGGCGGCTGGGCCCCCTCCCCTCGCCCTGCTCCCCGCCTTTCGGGGAAGACGAGGGCAATGGGGCAGCGGGTGGTGATTTCCCGGCTGGAGGCGGCGAGCCTTCATCTCCCCGTCTAGCGCGTCCCCTGCGCCCCCTCCCCAAATCCTTCCCGTGGGTGCCGGGGAGATACGGGGCCTTTGGCAAGCTGGGGAGGGATGGATAGGGAAGGAAGCCACTGGGTCTCCCCCTCCCCACCGCCCCTAAACAATGAAAGGAGTTGACTTGGCCCCCCACCCCCCAGCAATGAAAGGAGTTGACCCCCTCCCCCACCCCCAGCTGTCTAATCCCCGAGGGGGCCGTTACGGGGTGGGGGGGAAGGCGAGCCACTCCTGTCACCTCCCGAGATTTGGGGCGGCCCCCCATCTCCACCCGCTCGGCCTGGGAATGGGAGGCACCAGGCCCAGCCCGGGCACCGTGCTCGGGTGGTGACCTTTAGACAAAGGCAGCCCTTTCCCTGGGGTGAGCCCGGACGAGCTGGGCCGGCGGCCTCCCCGGGCCCCTGCGGAGGGCGGCCAGGCCGCGGGTACCCGGAGGGAGGGATGGAGGAGGAGGGAGGAGGGATGGAGCCATCTGGTTTTCCCATCCCTGGCTGCCCCTCGGCTGCTTCCCTGACTCCTGTCACGGGCGGCCGCGGGAGACAAGGGACCAGGGGCTGCCCGGGCCTTGGGCCGCGGCCAGCCGAGAACCAGGCGAGGAGCCGCGGGAGGGTGAGGGTGAGGGCGAGGGCTCGAGCTCGGGCGCCAGCGGTGATTGGAAGGCACTGTGGCTCCTTCCTCTCCGCGCCCCTTTGTTTTGCTTTGTGGTTCTGAGCAGCTGAACTTCCCGGGAGGTGGGGTCAGAGGCTGCCCTGTCAGCTCTCAGGGGGAGGCCTGGGTGACAGGTCCCAGTCCTCTGGTGTCCCTAGCCTGTGGGCTGCAGTTCATGACCATCGTGTCCAGACCATCATCCCCTTTTGTCACCCCCGCATAGTATAATAAAAATCTGGGATGTACTGAGTGTTTGCATTTCCCTTACACCTCCTTTCTGAGGGCACTTGACAGGGAAACTGCAGAAACACCCAAGGCTCCAAGGCCTGAGATTTACGACAAACCCTCTGTGCTTTCAACCTCTCCCTGCACCTGGGGTGGGGGTGGGGGGTTTGTCAACTCTGACCTACCCTGGCTAATGGGACACAGGGGAGGCAGACAGCTCAGGAACCACCCTCTTCCCATGCACTGGTGGGACTTAGGGGACATGTTTACCTCCCCTGCCTTCCCCCCATACCCTGCCCTCCCAGGCGGAAATAACAGTATCTCCCTACCCAGGGAACATTGCTGCTGCTAAGTGCATTACACACTGGCCACCATCCAAGGAGGAAGCAGAGTAGGGACAGTTATCATTCCCATTTTCCCGACAGGTTAATGGAGGCTCAGAGAGGTTAAGGGGCTTGCCCAGGATCACACAGCCCTGGGTCATACAGAGCCCCAATTTGTAATCACCTGGAGTTTCTCCAACTGAACTCAAAACTGTTAGGCTCTTCGGTCCCCTCTTTTTTTTTTTTTTTT